TTTTTTTTTACAAACCCAAAAGAACTCATAGGAAATAGTCAAATCCGTCTAAACATAACATGCTAAAAATCAATTGTCTTGTTTATTTTAATTCAGTACAATTATCTTTCTTTACCTGGCTTTGAAATCTTTGAAATGAAATTCAATTTGTTTTCTGTAATGGCAGAGTTAGTCAGCATGAGTGACTTTTACATTTTTATATTTTGCTGTTTTTTCAGCCAAGAAATCCTTCATTGGACAGAACAAGTCCAACTGGGAGACCGCTGGAGCTAATTGAAATGAATTAAGACTTGAGTTTCACAAAAAATGTACATAATCTCTATGGTTATTTGACAAGTTCAAATTTTGTTAGAAATTAAAGCTTTCTGTGGGAATATTTTTAAACTATAAGCAAAATTTAAAGCTTATAAAATATTAGCTATTAGTTGAAAAAAATATGTAGCATTCAATTGTATTTAAGAAATTACTAGTGGTTAGGGCATAGGGCTTTGAATCTTGAGGTTGTGAGTTCGATCCCCCACTCCCACAGACTGCCACGCTGGGTCCCTGAGCAAGACCCTTAACCCCACACTGCTCCCTGGGCGCCTCACAATGGCAGCCCACTGCTCCCCAAGGGGATGGGTTAAATGCAGAGAAGTAATTTCCCTCTGGGATTATTAGAGTAGAAATAAAAAATATTAGGCTAAAAAAAATGACTCAATTAATCATCATATACATAGAAACAAGTGCCACAAATATATTATTTAAATTGCTCAATTTTTATTTGAAAAGCATCTTTCAGATTCACAAAATTACCATCTAAAAGTCTATCTGGCTACTAAACAGCTTAAATAAGACAAACAGAGGTTTTATTTATTTTAATTAGCATGCATACTTTCCCGTACTCCTCCCAAAAGCAACTTTTGTTGATCAGATCTTACATCTTTAGTTATACCTATGTTATTGTTACACTTATTCATCACAGCAATCTAAATATCTCCTTTCAGCGTAAAGCATTTAAAAAAAAATAATAATAATAATTGTAATTCTGATTGGTGTTTAAAAGTGACTTACATAAGCAAAGGTTTTAATAAAATAGAAAGTAATGGTGATGATCACTGTATATCACTTTTACTAAGATTTATAGGCCAAGGAATGCTGAAGGCCAGACCAGACTGGGCCTTGGGCCGCAACGTCATCCTGCTGGGGATTGCCAGACACGCAGAAAAATCCACACTTTGCGTACTTTTAATACGTTTCTAAAAAAATCCACAAATGTTTGACTCTTGCGTCGTCATCTGATTTGAATCTAATTCATAAAGTTAAAATTAGTAGAAATATAACCATCTCGTCTTAAAGACGTGACTACTTAGTGGGTGTTTAGATCTATGCTTTTTCTGTTATGCCTTGAAAGGGCGTGCTGAAGGGGGCCATTCAGACAAACCTGGCAACACAGCACGAGCTTTCAGCCGCATCACGTAGTAGCTCCTGCCATTGATCTCCGGCGTGTTTCTTCCGTAGCTCAAAAGGTAAATGTTTAAAAACCATATACCGTTTTCATCAATTGTATTATTGCTAATCGTTTATCATCCTGACTATTTTGCTATCAGAGTATGGTCTGTAAAATAAAGTCGGTAGATGTGCCGTTGCGTTAGTTTAACAAGTTAGCATCTGAAGCTAAGAACATGGCGCTGGTTGAAAGGGCCTCTATTGTTCTTGTATCCGGGTGCGGCGCGAGCATGCTGTAGCCAAACGTTAATTTATAACAAACACAGTTGTAGGTCATTTAATATACAGCATTTGAAGGGGGTACAGTGTCCAGTGTTATCCAGAGGCATCGACTTTAAGGGAAATGTCGATTGAATATTTGCAGCTAGCTACGACTTTTTTTGTAGCCACGTAAACTGTTACCAGTTTACGCTAACTCCAAACCTTTAAGATATTTTATTAAAGTAGTCATGTTTTGTTTATTTGTTCTATGTTTTCTCTCGTCTCGTTGTAGTTTTGCACCACATACAGAACGGTCCTTTATGATATGATATATAGCGGGGAATATAGAAAATGGGCTCGTGGGGGCGCTGTTACAGAGCCGTTATAGAGCTTAGAAAAAAAACTGTAATCATAAATAGTTTCTTTTTTGTTTTCTATAGTAGATATCAAAAGAAACAGCTTGTAATATAATTAAGGAAAGCTGCTCTGCTTCCTGATATTGAAAAGGTGCTACTAACTGGTATCCAAGTATGATGATATTCAGGATCTGTGTGTAAATAAAAATCAAAAGTTGCAGATAAACTGCTCTTTTTACCATATTCTTGGTTAAATAAATGCAAAATAAAATAGATTTTTTCTTCTTTTTTTGCAGGGGTTGGGACCAATTATGGCTGATGAGGGATACGTTGTTCGAATCAGGGGTCTGCCTTGGTCCTGTTCAGTGGATGAAGTACAGAGGTTTTTTGCAGGTATTTATACCAAAAAGGGAAGAAATGCATTTAAAAAGTAAATGTGAACTCATGTCATGCAGTCTTTTAACACAAGGAGTGTTCACCAATTTTACAGCTGTGTGCTCTATATTAAAACCTCTGTGAATCTTCATTTTCAGTATTCATTCTTCTCTGAAATGACAAAAACACAAGAGGCGTTTGAAAGACAAGTTATTTAATAGACAATATTGTAGAAAAAAAATAACAAAACTACTAAGTATTGCATATAAAACTACTAATTATGATTTAAATATAAATTGACCTTTGTCTATAAATATGCTGTTTCCTAAACTTAAGTGACATAGTTTTATTTATGTATATTGTTTTATCTAGCAGATCTGATCCTGTGATTTATTTATTAGTTATTATTATTAGTTTAACAATAAAAATCAAGTTGAGTTCAAAAACTAGCATTTATTTCAGTCGTCCTACACAACTAAGAAAGAAAAGTATAAAACTGATCTCACCATGAGCTATGTAAATTAAATTTATTTTATCATTTCTTTTATTTATATAATGTATATATTAAAACCCCATGTGCTTAAAGTAGTTAACAAATTGATCAGTTTGCAAATTCAATGTTTTATTATTATATTGCCATGTTTGTTTTGCCCTTTAGAATCCAATTAAGATGTGCCAAACTTTCTTTTTTGTACCATGAAAGTTAATTTAGTGTTCTTGTTAAATGAATGTAAAAAAAAAAATAAAATAAAAAGGATCTATAGATTAATCAATCACTAAAATAATTGTGATCTGCAGCTCCAGATCCCTGCTCTATAGCTAATATTTCCATCTTGGTATTTTTTATTTCCCTTACATACCAAAAAACAGACTTGGTGTGATAGTTATACCAAAGATCTGTTTCTTTTTGTGAGCATGCTGTTTCACTGATCTTACAAGGCTTGACGGTGTCATGCTGCCTTTATTTGCCCATGGCTTCGTGCATGGCGACAAAGGCAACAGGACACTAAAATGATCCCACTCAGAAGTACCTAAAGTATCTCTATAAAGTACATTCTCACTTAGGTGTGATACTTTTCCTTACACTGTAAATGGTTATTATTGCTAGTTGCAAGCCTAAAGCTCTTTCGCCTGGGCTTTAGTTGGCTGATAGGTCAACACTAAGTCTACTTAATGTTTTTTTTTTTTTTGCCTTGTCACTTTGCAACGTTGGCATTGTTTCTCTTTAAAACCTCTTTTTAGGCTGCAAAATTCTGAACAATGGAGGTGGAATACATTTCACCTACACCAGAGAGGGACGTCCTAGTGGAGAGGCATTTGTGGAACTGGAGACCGAGGAAGATCTGAAGATAGCAGTGAAGAAGGATAGAGAAACCATGGGTCACAGATATGTAGAGGGTGCGTACAGCAGCAGGCTGTTTTCCACTGCATGTGGTGTAATTATTCCTGGACATTTTCTTAACATAAATATATATTTTTTATTTTACTCAATGCAGTGTTTAAATCCAACAATGTTGAGATGGATTGGGTCATGAAGCACACTGGCCCAAATTGTCCCGAGACAGCAGGAGATGGACTTGTGCGCCTCCGGGGCCTTCCCTTTGGCTGCAGCAAGGAAGAGATCGTCCAGTTTTTCTCAGGTAGGAATTGTTTTTGGTTGTTACCGTAAAATCTTTAGGGTTGGTGATTTAAACATTAGTACTCCATTTTTCTTTCTTTATTCTTTTCTTTTATAGCACTGACTCTTGCTGGTTCTGTGCAAGAAGGGATCTTTAGGATAATTAACTTTCAGTGTTAGGAAAGAGTGTAGATTAATAAAAATGAAATAGCTCATGATTTTGTAAATAAATGGAAATTAACCCATAAATGGGAGGCAGTTTAAAGTTTGAAGCTAGGTTTTTATTTGGTCATTTTCTAAGGGTCTGGAGTGTGTTTGTAAATGCCCTTTTTCATCCTCACACCATTTTCCATGTAGAGCAGTCGCTTCAATTTTTTCGGGTCTGATTGTATTACAGTCCTCTAGAGATGCACCGATCAAAGATTAGGGACCAGTCTCTGGTCTGTGGTGAACCTTTT